CAGCACAGCTTGAACTGGTAAATGGGACTTAACCTAAGGTATTGTCCTGCTCTTTCATCTTGCTGATTTTCTTGGTAAAAGGGATTTTTTTGTGAGCAGTTCAATGCATTGGACGTCAGCTTGAGACTTCTTGTCCCAAGCTGCCTAAATGACTAGCAGAGCTTTGGCAGATGCTAGGAACTACCTTGAAGCAATGCAGTTGGTATTAAGGCCCACTCATATATATGTGGAGCTGTGTGTGGGATTTGAAGACCAGGATCCCAAGGACCTCATAGTTGATAATGATTTTTGGCAAAAGGAAGGGAAGGGAGAGAGGGACAAACTAATGCACCTGGACCTCCAGATGTCTTGGAGTGTTTTATAGCAGTAAAGGTATCAAACACAATATGATTCTTTAACGGTCCCTCCTCCACAGGAAAATCTGTGTAGAAAAAACACTTGAATGGGAACACAAATGTCCTCCCATACTGGGGAGGATGTGGTTTGAGTAGCCCTCAGTCCTGAATGTCGTTTCAATTGAGCATGTAATTTTTGCGTTGCCCAGTGGAGGGAGAAGGACTCTTTCCTCCTGTGCCTCTGTCTCATGTTTGCATGCAGCTTTACCAGGTGCTTGGCCAAGTTACCAGAGCCTGTGGAGTACCCAGCCATGCACACGTTGGGATGCACTGTGCTACAGCAGACAGTGAGTTAGGGTTTTATCAGCTGTGTGACTGCACCAGCATAGTGATGACAAGCAGCAGCGTCTGGGTTGGTGGTGTCTTAGCAAGTATCCCTCAGCCTTCCACACCCCACTGAGTAGTGCGCTGTTAATAGAGTAGAAAATACAAATTTCTGTATGCACAGCCCGTGCCTGTGGGTAGGCTGAGCCCTACTGAGTCTTTGGAAACTGGACTGTGTGGTTCCACTCTGTCCACATGTCTGTGAGTTGACATTTTGTCTGTGGGTTGTGTTAGTAGCTTCTTGTAGAGGTGAGAGTGGAAGGAGGGGTGATCCTGTGGAGGAGCAATGGCTTGAAGATCTAGTATAACCCTGTCTGTGTTATTTTATTGCTACAAAATGGTTAAATCTATCCTCTAGAGATAAATGAATCTCTGGTCTTTTAACCTGGGGAGATTCTGCCTCCTAGAGCTGTGTCTAGTATTTTCGAGAGTATTTGGAGCAGTGGTAAAACTGGCGAGGTCAGTGTGCGCAGTTGTTCCCAGAGTACTGGGCGATAGCGCCCAAGAAGCTGCAGCATGTGCTGGTGTGAAGATGCATGTCTCCATGGGGAGGTGCAGCACACGTGGCACCGGCAGAAAGTTTCTGTGTGCCTAAAATAGGGACAGGTTCCTGGCTCTGCGGGGATGAACAAGTGAGGTGAAGTTACTGCCAAGTTAGCCATTGCTGTCAGGTTTCATCTTTCTGTCCATGTAAGGATGTAGTGGTGCCCTCCGATGGCTGGTGGTTGTGTGAACTGGTCTGCGTCAGTGCGTGAGGATGATCCAGTCAACTGCTTCCTACGGCTTGGGAGGGACTAACTGGCTGATTTACACCTCCTGCAGCACTGTCCCTCAGGAGTTGCCTTGGGAAGGAACACTTCATTACCCAATAAATCGATCGAACCTTTAATATTTCTATTTAAGTATTTAATAGTCTATTTAAGGAGCAGTCACCGCAGTGAACTCAATCCTGTAGTGTGACGTGTAGCGCTGCAGAAGGCGCAGCATCTTTGTTGCAGTTCATCAGGTTACAGCTGTCTGGTCCCTTCTGCGAAAGAAAGATAGAGCGATGCACCTTTTTTGCATTAATACATCTCCCCTCTTTTCATCCCACCTCTTATCTCACGTTGTCATCTGGTAGTGTTAAAAAGTTGCACAAATGCTAAACGGAGGCACAGTGCTTTGGGACCTCTTGGGATGAGGTGTTGCATGGAAAACAAAATGTTAATCCCCTTGGTTGGGTTTTGAATAATTGCCTCGAGTTGGTCTCTGGACTGCAAAACTCTTTAGGTTGACCTTCAAGGGAATGATTTGCAGCCCGTGCCCGCGGGTTGCAGAGCCATGTCCCTCTGGCAGGGTGAAGACCTGCAAGCTGGGGTGGACTTGAGTGGGCACTGTGCCACCACTGCTCTCGCCCTGCCCTCCTCGGGGCAGTTCTGCAGCCCTTGTCAGACACTTTGAACGGGTCCAGCAAAACTTCAAGGAACTGTGGTTGCTGATGGGATTGGATTGGAGAACAGTTTGTGTGGCTGGGAGCAGCGACGGGGATGGACGCAAATGGGGAAGACCTTCCCTCTGTCGTGGCTGTGGGCTTGGAGGGAGCGACTGGGGCGTGAGGAAGGGTGGACCCTGGCTTTGCAGAACATGGGGGTGAGCAAGCACAAGGAGGGGTCCTTTGCCCCCCGTACAACAGTGTGTGAGCACCTGTCCCGCTCCTGGCTTGCTCCCTGTCGTGTCCCGCCGGGTGGGATGCTGCCTTCGTGCAGCTGCTTCGGTATCAGTTGTAAAGCTGAAGTGCCGTTTGAGCAACCGAGTGATTCCTCTCCAGCCTTTTCTCCTCCCTCCGCTTCCCGTTCCTCAGCTCTGCCTTGTTTGCTCAAGTCAGGAAGGGGGAGGGTATGGGGGAAGTTAATCATTAAACTGTAATGTCTTCTCCTTAACTCCTTCACAACCTGCGGGCAGAGTGCCCCTGGTATTTCCAGACCCCTCTTCTTCTGCAGACTTGTAAACCAGTAAATCTACCCGAACTCACTTCTGTGCCGTTAGTAAAAAGCAGTGGGTTTCTGTCCGATGGTTCATTCAGCAGAGTGCTGAGCCGAGGAGGTGCATTTTGTGGCGAGATGGTTACAGCTGCCTGTCCTGCAGCGAGGGCTGGGGGTGGAGGGTGGAAAAATGGTTTGGGTCCCCTCTGCAGGGCTGGAGGAGCCCAACACCCTCGTGGGATTTTCACTTCCTGGTGGAGTTTGATTTGCCTTTGTCATTGGTGGGGAGAAGCAAAAACCACACCTTCTCGGATAGCACTTCTCTTGGAGGTTGTGTGCACGAAACCTCCAGTCATAGGACTTGCCTGGTTGGAGGAATTGTGGCTCTTCAGCAGTTCCCTTGAGGTATGTGCCTTTCGCTCTGGAATCCACCAGCTGTTCTTTTGCTTAAAAAGAAGATTAAGTTCATTTTTCCCCAGCTGCAGAAAGCTTGTATCCCTTCGGAGAATCTGCTTCTGTGGTATTTTGGCCCCTCTAGGAAGATGCCTGTGGCTTAAATGATTTGGAGCATCTTTTTGACTAAATGAAAGGTGTATAGAGTTAATGTAATGCAGTATTTAATATGCTAATGGCTGTATTCTGTTCTCTGAGGGCAGGACTGCTTTTTTTTTTTCCTTTTGTGATGCTTTGGTTTGTGGAAGAGTGTGAATATAAAAGCAGCACCTTCTTCATCTTGTAATGCAATAATACTGTCCTCCATTTGACCCTTTAATATATTTTCTTGAAGCGTTGCTAAGTGCATTGGCTGATGTGGTCTGCTCTGCTCAGGAAGTGGCTTTGAGCTGGCAGGTGCCTGCCCTCTTAGAGCCGGTAGGCAGCCATTAGGGCGAGCAGTTGCTCAGTTCCTATTCTGGTGCCACCTGATAACTTCAGCTCCTTGTGACCCTGGTGGAGGATACTGCAGGAGGGCTATGCTCACGCTGAGCCCCCACACCCCAAACCTGAGTATCAAGTACCTGCTGTGTGCAGGAGGAGAAAGACAAATCCTGCTGAGACTGCCTGAAGACAGTTGGGTCTGCGCAGAGGGGAGGGAGATCCAGGGGCTTTCTGAGAGCCTCCTCTCTAATTCCGCTGAAGTTGCGTTACTGTTGTCTGGCTGAATTCCACATCTCCAAAGGGACCTGCCAGGTATGTCCTGATGCTCTTGTAATGGAGAGTGCTGATGTCCCTAGTGAACCAGTTCCTCTCTAATAGCCTTAAAGAGGTGTGCACTAGAGCTTGCTGCCCCAGTGGAAAGCTGGGCACCCGGCCAGCGAGGCTTTCTTTAGAAAGTGAGTACAGTGCAGACCTGCAGTCGCCTGCTGGAGTTTCCCTCACCAGGGACTGCAGTGGGCTCCGCAGGGTGGGTTCACAGGACAGAAGGTCCAACAAGTCGGGATTTGCCTGTGAGTCACTGCAGAGGAGTGCAGGGTTGAGAATGGGCAGAGGGTAGTTTGCAGGGAGAATGGTGGGAAAGCCTTTTCATGCCCCGTCTCTAAGGGAGAGCATTTTTTTCCTGCTTTAAGATATCTGAGAGGTGCTAACTGTGTGACGTGGGTTCCTCAGCCTGGCATGAGTGATGGTGTTTCTAGCTGGGGGAAGTTTTTCTTCTCTTCAGGAATTTGTGAGCAGTCTCCACCCAGCAAGTTGAGAATTGTTTCCAGGACAAGAAATGGCGTTTACCTGGCAGCCTCTGGAAACTAGTTAACTGTTTGTGTGATGTACTGAGGGGGGGATTTTTGTTAACAAAACTGAAACACATACTCCTGCTGCACCGATGGACTAATTTGAAAGTTTCATGCTTCTTCCACTACCTTAGACTCTGGAGAAAACCCCTCCCGAGATCTTGTTTCATGCAGAAAGCAGTGCCTGCGGCCACAGTAAATGACTCTGTGATGATGTGGGGCCTGTAATTAGTCTTTGTCAATATCCTGTTCTGAGTCGGATCTCCTGGGTTGCTCTTCTGCAGGGTGCAGTGAGGCTACGGGTCCCTGTTGTTGGGCAGTTTTCTAGTTAAGTCAAAAATCTGAGACTGACAACAGTTTTTCTGGCTGCTTTGTTACCTCTTGGTGTTTTCTTTGTACCAGAAGTTTGATTAACCCATTCAGTCCTGGGCTGCAGTAACGTTTTTCAGGGTATTTAGTAGATCACCATAAATGAAAAGTCTTCCCAAAGACCTTCTGACACAGATATCCTGAGTGAGATGAAAAAGCAGTAGTCCAGGATTTTACCATTTTTTTTCTTTTTTTTTTTCTTCTTTTTTTTTTTTTGCTTTCCTGCAGACGCCTTACTGGCAGACCTGGAATCCACCACCTCACATATCTCCAAACGACCGGTGTTTCTAACAGAGGAGACGCCTTACTCCTATCCAACTGGAAACCACACATACCAGGAGATTGCTGTGCCACCTCCAGTGCCCCCACCACCTTCCAATGAGGCCCTGAATGGCACTGTGATTGACCCCTTAGACCAGTGGCAACCCAACGTATCCAGATACGTCCACCAGCAAGTAAGTGAATGTGTGCAGATTGGGGAGGGTGCATGCTGGTTTTGTTGGTGCAGTATCTCTCAAGGAAGTAGATGAGAGGAGGGAATAGCAAGAAGTGAGGATGAGTTTGACTACAAACAGAGTGGGGAAATGAGGGGAGGTGTGGGTTTTTAATAGAACTAACTGGTTGGAGAAAATGGCAAAAAATAATTTGAAACCCATCGTCATTATTCTGACAAAATGGCAGTGTGATGAGATTAGTGTTAGTCATCTATTTTGTAGCTTGTGGAAAGCAGACTGGGGGTTTCCAGCACAGATCTGCGACTCATAGGCAAATCTGAAGCTAGTGGAGAACAGTTGTTCCTGGTGTAGTTCATCTGATAGAGGGTGGCTTGGCTATATAGCAGATTTTTTTTTTTTTTCTGCTGGCCTTTGTTCTGCCCTATCCATGTGTGGGATTGCAATGCAGTAGTGTACATATTTGCTTTGTATTTTCTGTTTCCAATGCAAATCTCATTTCCACAGCCTCAGTCCCAGTCTCCTATATACAGCTCTAGTGCCAAAAGCTCCAGTGCCTCCATTCCTAGAGACGGGCTCAGCTCTCCTTCTCCACGTGCCAGTGAAGAGGAACACGTCTACAGGTATCTTGTCCCTGTTAAGAGATAAGCCTGACTTAAAACTTGAGCCTGCTGTGGCTCAAGCTGCCTTCTGTAAGTGGAAACAAACACTGCTCCCTGTATACGTTATGTTGCCTTGTGTGGGTTTTGATTACCTCTTTTGTAAGAGGCCACTGTAACTTTCACACTCATTTCAAACATTGACCTGGCCCTTTGGTTTGCTCAGCTGCAGAAGAGGTTAAGGATCCATCAGACAGAACAGGATCTGGATTGTGTTGTGAAGGATATGATCCAGAGACAAGTGACAAATTGATCCCTCTGTTAAGCAGCACAAAAGTTCTTTAGGAGGTGGGTGGCCTTTGGGTCAGTTATCCTGGGGAACTCAGTTACCAGTAGCCTAGCAGGATGTGCAATGACTTGAATTTTCAGGTAAATTCGAACTTCTTAAAACGTTCATCTCGGTAGATGATAGATAGGTAACTAGCTTATACTTGCAAAGGCAGCTGCTCTTACACTGAGAGGTTGGAGGAGTAGCCTGTACGATAGGACAGACCTTTCTGCCAGCATGGGGATGAGTGAGGAAGAGGCTATCAGAACGTCATCTCTGATGGCCCGCTACAGTGTATTCTGTCCTGGGTACCTTTTTACAGTGTGGAGACTGGTGTTTCTCTGGTGTTGTGTTCTAACCATGCTTGGCTCTTTCTGCTAAGCAGGAAGTTGCTTTCAACCAGAACTAATGCTGGGTGGAGGCAGGCATATTCAGAGATGGCCCAATGGAGGTAGTAATTGCAATTTTTTCAGATGGCCGCATGCAATTACTACGAAATGGAGGTAATTGCAGCCATAAGTCCTCCTGTACAAGGGTCTGGCAGGGCTTGGTTCTGGTGTGAATTGTACCTTGTGTGCTTGGGTTGGGATGAAGTATGCCCTCCACAGATTGTGTTTGTGGATTTTTTTTTTTTTTTTTAAGTCTGAAGAGAAAGATAATAACTGCCCTTACAGAATTTCATAATTGTCACTGGTGTTACAGGTGTCAGAGTCTTGAAGCCTGTTACATATTAACTTTCTGAGCATAAAGTGGTAGCGTGCACAAGACAGAAGTTCCCACTTTGGATTTGGAAAGTATTTTTTTGATAAAATAAGAATCTCTAGAGCATTAGAAGTTATTTCTTCATTTGTAAAACTAGGAGAAAATAATTTCCCTGCCATTGGTGATGGGAAGACTGTTATTACAGTGTAATTACTAGAAAAATCACTGCATTGGTGCTAAGTTTTGCTTTGATGAAATAGTTTGCAGTCGTGTGTGGTAAATGGGATCGCCCATATAGGATAAGCAATAATTACAGCTGGTGTTTTATACACACTTGTGCACAGGTAAACTTCTTTTAAGGCTTGTATATTTAACACAGTAGAAAATAGTTTCAAATTACTTTCTTATAAATTGATTAGAGTTCCCCAAATTAAAGGTTTGAGGACTTGAAAAGAGACCTTGAGTACTGCAAGAGGCTACCACATAACCTGCTGCTTTTGACTTTTTGTTGATAGCTTTTTGTTAATACTTTGCCTCTTTCTCCAGTCTGTGCTAGCCCTGCATTCCCTTGCTTCAGGGGGAAGGTTTTTGCTGCTTGGTGTGATGTCAGCAGAAACAAGTCATTTTCCTGTATGTGAGCTAATGGTTCTGCTGCTGTTCTGTGTGTCTTGGATCTGCATACGGTTAACTCTTTCCTACAGGGCTGTGCAGCACACAGTCCTAAAATCTGAGGCCCTGTCCATCAGTGCTCTTTCTTTATGACTGATAACTGAAGATTTGGCTAAGCAGTGGCTGTGTTGTAGTCATTTCACAAAGCACGCATCTTCCCCCAGAGCTAAAAGCATCAGCTTGAAAAGAATACAGTACATGTGTAAACTTTGTGAACCTAATGTAAGTTTTCCTCCATCCTTCTGCTGTATCTTGACATAGAAGTTTCACGCTTCCCTTTTATCTTTAGTTTCCCAAACAAGCAGAAGTCTGCAGAACCATCTCCCACGATGACCAGCTCGTCTTTGGGCAGCAACCTCTCAGAACTGGACAGACTTCTTCTGGAACTGAATGCTGTTCAACATAATCCTGCTAGTGGCTTTCCAGCAGGTGAGGAATAGCAAGACATTTGGTATTAGTGGATAGTTTGATTCTCAAAATAGTAGCCTGATTTTTCCTTCCAACATCCTTACTGAGGGAGAACCCTCCAGCCCCTGATCAAAGATTCATTTAGTGTGGGTGGGATCTGTTGAGGTCTGTGGTGCAGCACCCTGCTCAAAGCAAGGCCAACTTCAAAATTGGCTCTAACTAAAGTTTCAAAGTTAGATGAGGTTGCTCAGGCCCTTGGGCTGTTAAGTTCTGAATATCCTCAAAGATGTATGTTCCACAAGATTTCTAGGCAATCTGTTGCTCTTGCCTGTGATTAACATGTATGTATGGACCTAGGGGTCTGAATGTCTTTTTTCTGCTCCCGTTTCTTAAGATGAAGCCAGCAGAAGCCCATCACTGCCCAGCATGACTGGACCTCACTATGTCATCCCAGAGAGCAGCAGCTCTGTGGGAGGGAAGGCTGCACCCCCTACAAAAGAAAAGCCAAAGCGAAATGGTGCACGTGGGATCGAAGATGTGCGTCCCAGTGTGGAGAGCCTGCTGGATGAGCTGGAGAGCTCTGTGCCAAGTCCAGTGTGAGTAGTGTTCTGCTGGTTGCTGGCTTGGGTGGGGCGGGACAGGCTCTTATGGGCATAGTGATTGTAGTGTAGGGGCAGATGCTGCAGGGGAGTGACAGTAGGTGGGCTTTGTCTCAAGGGTCAGAAATCAAGCAGCTGCATGAAGATGCTGGTGCTCTTTTATCTACTCCTGGATGAAAAAAATACCTAAGTCATGTTAAAAGAGGTGGATTGTTCAGACTCGGATTTATAGCTGATCACAAATACCCACTGTCTGACAAAATTAATGTTTGGTCATCGTCCATTTCTTAATGGATAGGGATTGTGTCTGTACACACTCGTGTTAGACTTGGCAGAGAGACAGGGTCTGTGTGTGTTGTGGAAGCTGGGTCTGGGGCAGGGCTGGGGAAATTTATGATGCTGTGCTTGCTTGGGGAAGCAATGGGACTTTCAGTCTAGGAATGCTCTCCCAGGCTTAAATGCCTTTTTTTTTTTTTTTTTTTTTTTTGGTCAGCCCTGCAATCACTGTGAGCCAAGGTGAGGTGAGCAGCCCTCAACGGGTCACCGCCAGTCAGCAGCAGACCCGTATATCTGCTTCTTCAGCTACACGAGAACTGGATGAGCTGATGGCATCTCTCTCTGACTTTAAGGTACCCTATCATGACAACTTAATACTTCATCTTGTCTCTCCCCACCCCCAGGCTCTCTTGCCCATTAGCCACATCTACTGACTTTGGTCTCCAGAATGCCCTCTTCACCTCTCAGACTTGCTCTGAGAAACTTCCTGTGGTGGTATTTGTGCTTTCTGAGTGCTGCTGTAGGTGTTCTTGACTGCTATAAATTCTCATCACTGGCAGGGTAGGGCAGTTCTAGGGTCTGTTTTTCCTTTGGTTCTGCAGTTTGTTTGCCAAAGATAATGAGCTTAGTTACTGCTCAGTACAGGGTGAATTATTTTGCTGTGCTATGACTTAACAAGAAGTTAGGGGAGCATGGGACACCAGTCTGCTTACTGACAGAGACCAGACTCTTCTGTTCTGTGGGATGACCCTCCTCTCTGGAGTGTATTTTTACCCTGATGTGCTTTCCCTGAGGAGGATCTTCCAGGCATGTAATGTGAGCACTGAAGCCTTTGCATCAGACAGCTGGAGACTTCAAAGGTTTCCATCTTAAAACAGTATCTCTTATTCACCTCAAAGTGGGATTAAAGTCTGAGCTTCTTGTGGGGGCAGAGGATGGCAAATACTACTCAGAATCTTGTTTGGAAATCAAACTACTGTATTGGAAAAGAACTGCTACTTCAGTCACAAGCAGCACATAAAAATCCCATAATAGGATAAGCTCAGGAGTAACTTGCCCATGGTCATCTTGATATGTGAAGCACTTGGCATATGTACTTGGATAACTTGTTCTTTATTCATATAGGTATGTTATCATTCTTGCACTAGATGGTTAACTGTGGAGCGTATTTTCATGAGACTTCATTTACCCATAATCATAGCAAAATGAAAAATATTTTCTCTTCTTACTTTCTACTTTCAGCTGCTTTGCTTATAGCCTTATTGAATTATTCACTTGAATTTCTGAGGGAGGCAGAGAAAGCAAATATCTAATATATTCTTTTTGTCAGTGTTGGGTCTGCCTTTCTTACATACATGTGCAAGTCTGCTTTCTAATCCTAAGAAAGTGCCTAACTCTCTGTTTTTTCCTCATGTGGAAGATTCTGCTGATGCTTGATGTTTCTTGTCTGTGCTGAACTCCATTTCCTCCTACTATGACTTTAGGTGGGGCAACCAGAGCTGAGGAATGTTTTGTGAGGAGAGGTAGACAGGGCATTAAATGACAGCTTTGCTGTTTGTTGTTCTCTCTGTGCCACTATTCACGTGAGTGCTTTTGATGTGTGCTGTGGGTTTCACGGAGGTCATTACAATACCTGGAGTTTTCACCAAGTGCGTGAGTTCAGAACCCAGCAGTGAGCGTGCACGCTCTGGGTCACTTCACTTGCCTTGCACTTGCTGGAATTCAATTCAGTCTGCCATTTCTGGCACATGTACTTCGTTTTGTGAGAATCTAGGTGTTACTCACTGTTTTCACTAGGCTTACTGTAGTGTGTATTTAATCAATTGCAAATATTGACACCTTAGCGTTGCCTTTTTCCCTCCATATTAAGTCCTAGGGTAGAGTGCAGAATATCCACAAGTGTCTGTTTGGTCTGGTTGAAAAACTGCACTGTTGAGAAGCTGGAGGGAGTTCCCACCTGCTCCTTGCTCCTTCCATGTGCTGTGGGAGCTTGAGTGCTGTGACCTTGTGTCCCTGCTGCTTTTATCAGGGCTCAGAAAACAAGCTCAAGGTGTGGTTGCTGCCACCAGCCTTTGCTCCTAGGTGAGCTCTTGGCAACTGAGAATGACCTTGCCCAGCACAGGTTTTCCTTGCAAGATACAAGGAGAGGGCATTTCGCGGTGTGGGTGTTCAAATGCTTTGGAGTCTTGAGAAAAGGCCTAAGAATCTTTGTGCAACTCCAGTAAAACCTGCATGACAGAGACAAGCTGCTTTCTGTAATACTGCCTGCCTTCCTGGCTTAGTTTCTCGTTGAGCTCTGAGAGCAAACTGAAATGCAGCAAGATTTTAAGATTTGGGCTTTATAAACACACCATTAGTATTTTTGCGATGCATTGAGCTCATCTGTGTCTAAACATTCTTCCTGAAGCACAAAGAACATTGTTTCTGTGATCATTTACCTTTTGTTAGGATTGTCATTGACTGTTTTTAAAAGTTACTTTCCTTTTTCCTGTCCTCTGAGTTGCTTCATTTTCCCTTCAGTCTTTTTTGTTTGTTTTTACCTCCTCTATTTATGCCAACTAGTGATGTTAGCTTGTCTAAAAATATATTTCTAGTCTGTACCAGTGGCAGGATGTAAGGGAGAGAAGTGGAGTCTTTGCAAAGGTAAAAGATGAAAGGCTATTTTTCAAGTACCAGACCTGTGTGTGGTTGCAAGAAATAGAACAGAAAAACTAAGTATGATGTGTAATTAGTTGGAGTTGGTAATTGGTACAGCTAGAAGTTGCAGTAGATGGGGATGGGAGGAGCGGAGGCACCGATGTTTAATTTCCCTCATAACCCAGAGTAAAAGGTGCTATTACAGGCTGATACATTACTCTATCATCTTTTGCTTGCTTTAATGAGTCGCTCATTCTTTTTGCTTACAGAATCCATTTGATTTTTGGTAATCTAGCTCGTCAGTCAGCAGCCACTGAGATTACTTAATGCACTTGTTTTTTCAACCTCTGCCATTTCTGTGTAATATGATGCCTGCTTAGTGGATAACTAGATGCTTGTATTTAACTGTTCTATTACTGTTGAGTGTTTAACCGTTGCTCTTAGTTTAGAGCTAGTATGTTTCTAATATGCTGGAAATACTTGCTTTTAAGGGAAATGGTAGTCTTGCCTTGAAAATGACTGACTTAATTTTAGGAAATCTGGAAGCTAAGTGTGAACCACAGTATAAAACCAGGTTACTTTTACAGGTGCATCCAGCTTAGGTGAAATACAGGGGGAGGGCAATGTTGAGAAGCTCCCTCATTTCAACTGCTGAATGTACTTATTAGTCCTTTTCTTATCTGCTGTGACTGTGGGTCTTGCTGTGCTATTCGAGGGGAGGAGCAATCTGTAATGAATTGCGGTCCCCTATTGCTCTTTTCTGAGTGCAATCTCCCTGTAGCGCTGCTGTTGTGACTTCACATATGCGTGTGTGCGTGCCAGCTCCTGACCCTTCGGGATGGTAGCAACTTAGGTCAGCTGAAGGTGTATGTCTCTTCATCTACTGGTAGATTTTGTGCATGTTCTGGTTAATTTTATCCTTTTGTTCATGATAAGTATCCCAGAAAGGCAGGTAAAGAGTGAGATACCATGCATGGGCTTAGGAAGTTCCACGCCCTGCTGCTGCAGAGCATAAGCATCTAACTTCTTGAGGCTTCTTTGGAAAATGTGACTAAGAATCAGAGCAGGTCTTGATAGCTCTTGGGTTTGGAAATCCTTTGTGGATACATTTTTAAAACTGGGAGGGCTCAGCATTGATCTTAGGTTGTCCTTCTGTGTGAACTTGTCCAAGCCACTGTTCTGATTTTCCCTTTTTAAGAAAAAGAAGGAATGCCAGTTTGTCTCCTAGAGTTCAGTCAGGAATCACTGAAAATGGGGCAAGGAGGACCCATGATATTTTGTTTTCAAAAGGCTCTGTAAGTCAAAGAGAACTAAAGAGAACTCTGTATCAGTTGCTCTTGTTAGAGTGCATTTTGGATCAAAATTAATACTGATTCTATTACAATGTAAATGTGGAGTCATTGGCCTAAGGGGAAGAGGCTAATCTAGCCACCTAAGCAATGCTTACAAGGGCATGGAGTGACTGACAGACTTCTATAGATTCAGTATGTGTCACATCCAAGGTGAGATTAGTGATGTGAATAGAACAAAGCCCATGTCATCTGTTCTTGCTGTGAATGCCCTGAAGCTTTGTTTTCATTGCCGTGAACTCAGGCAACCGGAGCATTTTATTAGTGTATCAAGAAGAAAATGTCATGCTTTGTTCTATTCATTGATTGTCTTTTTTCCATCTTTGAAATGTAAAATTTACATGTCTGACTATGAGTAAGTTAACGTGACCTTTACTCATAGTCTAGACATTCCTGGGTTTGTAGCTGGCTTCCCAGTGGCCGCTGCATGCCCCCATCACAGCTGCAGGTGAACACATACACATGAGCTATCACTTAGAAGGAGGGCATAGGAAAAGGATCTCGATGACTGTAGAACTTAATCTCCCATCGTATTGGTTCTGCTCTTTGGTATCTCATTTTCCTTCCTTACTCTTGGAAGTAAGGCTTTGGATCAACGTGGCTCTTTGATTTGGAGGTCATGATTGCTATAATGCTTAATTCTTTGCTTTTTTTTCTTCTCCTTACCTCTGTCTTTTTCTCTCCTTATTCCTTCTGTCTCCTTTTTGCAGACTAGTTCCACTATGTCTCTGATTTCTGAACCCTTCCTAGAACCGGTTCCCAGTTCAGCAAATGCAGACTCCAGCAACACTCCTCACAGCTTAACAGTGCTTTCCCATTCCAAACACCCTTCTGCAAGTCACAGTGGGGACTCGGCAGTGCCGACATCTGCCCCCTCAGCAGTCCTCTGCGTTGAGGAAGGCAGTAACACTGTAGTTCTGCCTACTTCAGGGCATTCTGCCTCTCTTCCACATATGCCCTGTTTGCCACAAATGGTCCCTGTGCCCCCACCACGAGTCTCTTCTGGTTCTGCTACTCATGGGGAGCAGATGACCTCTGCAAGCCTGGTTCAGCTGAGCAGAAAGCCTGACTCTTCTAGAAATGTTTTCCAGGCTGTGCCAGCTTCCAGTGTGGAGCTTCTGTGTAGATCTGCTAATGTGAAGGCACAAGGCCTAGAAAACAATTTGGCAAAAGAGACTGAGAAGAAGGAGCAGAGAACTGACCCCAAAATCTCAAGTGTACCAATTTCAAACACTTTAAATGGTCAAGGGAAGGGGCAGATACCTAAAGAGCTGGATCAGCAGGGAGCGTTCAGGGACAATTCAGCACTTCATTCCCAGGCCAGAAATGTGGAAACAGCTTTAGATGAGCTGTGGGCCCTGGAGCTG